GGGGGGGGGACCTCTTATTCAGAGAGCTGAGCTGCGCACTAATGCGTCTCTCTCTCTCTCCTACTGGAAAGCCCACGCAAACGCGCTGCCCACCCCCCCCCGTTCCCCAGAACAATGAAGTACTGGACAGCGCACCACAGCCAGTGGGGGGGGAAAATAAAAAACACGCCGCTAAGTGTGCTCCGTGTGATTATTGCGTTTGTCGATCGGTCCGCCTCTCTCAGGTGCAGAGAGGAGGGGATGGCTGACTGTCCTAGTCCTCCAATTAGGGCAGGCCCGCGCTGTCACGTGATTCAAGCCGTGGTCTAACCCGCTGGAGAGGAGCTGGAGAAAGAGAAAGCTGACTTGACTGGAGGTATCGGAGGCTGGAGCAACTAGGGTAGGGCAATTAAACACCCATTAACGCTCTTAATTGGGAAATGCAGTGCAATCGCGCGAGGAGCGGGCGTCACGGTTGTGCGGGGTTTCACGGTAACGCGTGGGAGAGCTTGCGTGGTTTTTGCCTCATAAAAACAATCTCTTGGCAGGACCTCTCTGCGCGTTAGGTAATGACATTCTAACCTAATGTGCGTGCTGTACAGTCCCCGGTGCTGGACATTTTCTGATGCATTTTGGAGGACTAGGTCTAGCCCGGACGTGCCTGGCGATGGTGTTGATGGTAACTTTTGGTGTATTTAAAAAAAAAAGGAAACGACGGCTATTGTGGAGACGGCTTTTCTGATGCGGGCTGTTTGAATTATGTATGAGGGTTTGACTGCAAGAAGAATTTGAGGGGGATGAAGGATCGTTATATCTGGAGTGTGTGAGCGCACGGGCACACACGCCGTGCCCGGCGGAGAACTGCTTTCTGAAACACTGGCTGCCCCCCCCAGCGAACTTCAGCAAAATTCAGAATATCTTTAGGGTCTTCTGGCCAATTGTGTCCCTTCTTTTTTTTTTAAATTAAAGTGCGGCGAGTGTTGTGACAGTTTAGGGGTGGTGGGGGCGGGCGACTGCGGACGGGCCGCGTTAGGGATGTGCAAAGTGGCGATGCCGGCGGTTGCGTGGGGGGAGCACACCTAGCCGGCTCTGCGGACGACCGCATGCTGCTCTGTTGGGGGGCTCCGGCCCCTCAATGCCAGATAGTGGTCCCACACTGCGAGTGTTGCGCTGGTGGAGAGCACGCCTGCGCAGAGCGGGCGCCCGCAGGTTTCCTGCCAGATGGTGTCCGCGAAGAGGCCGGCAGGCGGCTCACACAGCAACCCGAGCGGACGCGGACGCGGACGCGAGTGGATGCATCGTTATTCAAACTTTTACCCCACCACCTCTTCCTCCTCCTCCTCCTCCTCTCCCCGGTTTATACCCGATTTCCAGCCCCACTTTTGAGCCGCGCTCCCCGCGAAGCTGTAAGTATCACCCGGCGTTGGGCAAAGCGAGCTGCGCGCTTGGTTCGGTTCGGTTTCCTCCGGGCGACCCCGGCCAGAAGCGTCCCCGCGCGTTTCCGAAAGTCGGCGAACTTCGGCGGCGTACGCGAGCGGTAATAACACGGCAGGACGAGCAAAACATCGGGGGATTTTTTTTTATTTCACTCCGTAGCCCCGGTTCCCCTCTCCCCTAGAGAAGCCGTTGTTAATTGGAGAATAAATTAAAAAAAAAAAAACGAAGAGTGTGCCGAACTGGGGTGCCCGTGGTGCGGATCTCAGGACGGCGCCAGTACGAAACTGCATAGCGACCGGCGTCAACAGACTGGCTGCCTGTCTTCGGAAGTACCTCTTGGCTTAAGTTCTAGTTATTAAAAAAAAAAATACCCACAACAAACAAAACAGTTTTTTTTTTTCCCAGCAGCGAAATGACGGAACACCTGGTATTAAACCAGCCCTCCTGCTTTTCGACTTCCACGGAAGCCAGCGAAAAGAGTGGAAGCGTGCCTTCATTAACAAAGACCTCGGCGGTATGAAATCCCCCCCTGTTTTTTTTTTTTAACAAGACAGCGCAGGCTGGCAGTGTGTGTCAAAAGGGGGGGGGGGGGTCCTCTTTTTTTCACCCCCCCGCGACTTCCACGCCAGACCAGAGCACAGGTGTCGTAATTTTACAGTTTCTCCATTTTGGTGCGCCGCTTCCTTGATCTCTGTGGGGGGGAGAGAGAGCAGGGACAGAAACTGAAACGGGGAAGGAAGGAGATCCACGTCGCGCGTGGAAATGAGGGCACGCTTGTAACAGGGCGCAGTCTCCTCTTCTGCTCTCCCACAGCTTAGCTTGGGGGGGGTGGCATCTCGGCTCTTTTCCTAGTTGGAGCGGCACTCGTGATCCGTGTGTGTGGGCTGGCGTGGAGCAGGTGCTGTGGCGTGCCCTCTCCCAGAGCCACAGGACGTGTGCTCGTCAGGTTTAAATAATTGATCGGGCTGTGTTGCTAGCCTGACGCATTGTCCTTGAACTAGCGTAAAGCCGGCCTCTCCGATGTACACGCTGGAGTGAAACTTGAATGAACGCCCCCCTCAGTTTCATTTTGTACAGCTGAGGTACTGTATATAGGGTTAACCGTGGCTTGAATCCACCTCGGTTCTCTTCGCCTCCTACACTGTGCTGCCATGGGATACCCCTGTGTTCGTAAAATATTGGGTTTTTTTTAAATATAGATCAGCACAGATGATTGCGGTAATGAGATTTTGCGCTGCCCTTTTGCTGCGCCGTAAAATTGTTAAACTCCCCCCCCCCGTGCTAAAAAAAATAATAATCTCCTTGTGCCGATTGCTAATTTATTTTCCCGGCTGTGTTTACAGCTCTAAAAAAAAAAACAAAACAAACTTGGGTGTTTAGTGAGCTTTGAGTCCAGAGCCCCTGCAATGCACTTTAAAAGGGCCATTTACCTAGGGAGTGCATATTTAAAACACCGTTTTGTTCCATCAGGGGAGAAGAGGAGATGCGTACAATTGGTGTACGACTGCTGCGCAGCGTTTTTCACAGTTTGATCAAAAGCGGATCTGCAATTGCACGTTTAGCATAGTAAAAAAAAAAACAAAACAACCCTCTCAACTGCATTGCAATAGGAGTGGGGGAAAAAAAAAGTTAGCATGTATGCACAGTCTTTTTCTGTAGCACATAAAGGCTGTCCTTTATGGACGGGCACTAGGTCTGTCTGGGTTGTCGTGATTCCAGTCTGGTTGTGCGTTAATTTAACCGGCGAAGAGCTTGCTGACGTCTGTCCCTGACCTGCTTTGTGCGGGGGGGTGGGTGGGAGTTGGGGGTGCCGAGTGGCTGGGAACCCCACTCAGGTGGAAGTAGCCTCCTTCTTGAGTCTGTGAAGTGCTTTGGGGGTCCTTGGGGAGGAGGGGCGGTCTGTGAATGCAAGGAATGATTTCTGTCCCAGCAATTCCGGGCGCATCACCCCTCAGACTGTCTCTCCGTTGCGGGAGAAAGCTTGTGGACTTTTCGGATTCCTTCATCCTCCCGGGTAGTTCATTCGCACATCGCACGTTCCTCCCCAACGTCTCGGGCTGCGACAGTGCAGTGCCAGTGTTTACTGCTTCCTGGTGGAGCTGCATTCCTGCATCTTTCAACAGGTACAAATGTCTCTCCTAAGATATTTTGCGAGAGTGGTGCAACCTGACCAAAGGCTTTAGCTCGGATGTGTTCGACTTTTTGGCATGTCAGTGGCCTGTCCTGTTCCACTCCTGTTTTTCTGGAGCTCAGGGCTATTATGTAAGCTCCGACCATGTGCTGCGTGATCCAGGCCTGACTCATTGTTTTGAATGGGCTGCTTGACGGGTGTCAAGTTAAATGCAGTACAAAGCGAGCCGTTTTTCCTGCTCCCTCGCTGTGATTTGTGCGCGTCTGTTACTGGTCAAACCTGAAATGGACGTCGCTGCCTTGAGGGACGTTGCGTGCTTACTTTGCTTTTTAAAGGATTGTCCCTGTACCGGTTGTCTAGAATTGTAGCTTTGTAGCTGACTCATTTCTTTGAGCTCTGGGTGTTCCGAAAGTCCGCAGGGGTGAAATGTTAAGTAGAGGCGGCCGGGCAGGCCCAGATGGGCCCAAGCCCATCCTGTTGTTTGTAACCTTTACGTTTGTCGTTTCTTTCACTCGCTGGGTATGTACCTGAAGGCCGCTTTTCCAGGACAGTCTTCAGGTTTTGCCTCTGAGTTATGTCTGAACCAGGCTGTGTGGAGTCTGAGGTTACCTCTGGTGTGATGCCCTTATCACAAACTTTTGCGGTTAATGACATTTTCTGAACTGTCTGTTGGACTGCTGAAAATAAACCTCACCAATCTGCTGTCTGATTCTTTAGCGTTTGTCAACGTTGGATGACCTCTGAAGGCCGTATTGCGCTTGTGTCTCTTTTAAAGCAGAATTTATACATTCTGTGCGGCAGCGTGTTTGCGCGTGCCTTGTGCAGCCTGCACCTGTAAGCGTTATCCTGCCTCGAGCAGCATATATGATATATCATAGCGTACATTGGCAACGTTTTCTGCGAGTTTCGGGGAGACAGTGCAGAAAATAAGTCTTGTGAGTCTTGTAAAGGCACCATTGTGCACCGTTCAGTGTTGTGGCCGATATTTTAATGAAACCACTTCTGCAAGTATTTTTTTTTTCCCTTTGTGTGGGTAGTTTTTGTTCTGTGCCATTACAGCTGGAGAAGACGTTTAAATTGTTAACATGCATAGCTATTTTTTCTTCCCCACCAGTCTGTGTTTATAGAAAGTGCTCTTAAGCAGCTGCAGTATATTTTCACCTTGACTGGGTCAGGCAGGTGGTTAAAGGTCGAATTAAGGGTCATAGGCGCGATTTTGCAAATCGGGTGCTGTGCTTTTGGGGATTAATTGGGAAAACTGCTGCGTTTGATGAGACATTGCAATTTGACACTGCTGAAGGCTGATATGTTACACCTTTTTGATTTCCAGTTTGAAAAGACGTCATTCCTCCCCTCTTGTGTGGCTGTCAAAGCCAGTGCAGCTTGGAGCAACAATAGCTCTGGCTGACATTTTGCAGAAGTGTTGATCTGAGCTCTTTCAAGTTGGGGTTGGAAGTGACTTAAAAATTACTGTGGAGTTGGGCTACTGTCGTATAAATTTGTTTTTCTTTACAGCCCTTTTAAGAGCTTTTTAAGATGACACCAGTGCTGCTTTCAGTGTTTAAATCGTGGGTTGTGTTGAATAAAGTCCCATGCTTTGGTCTTGTAAATATTGGTACTTTTTCAGCTCATGCTGTAAGAGTGTAATAGGAAAAACTACATTCTAAAACCATTACCTAAGATTAAGCCTCATTTATCAAGGTACACCAAATACTGTCTGTATTATACACTCATGCATGAAGCTTCTGTGATTAGGTGTTGTAATGAAACTCACTGAACGTTTTCAAGGTCTGTTTTCTGTATACAGCTTTGTTTATCCACTGATGAAATCAAACTGTCCATTTATAGTATAATATTAAATGAAGGAAAAGTCTCAAGTCTTCAATCTTATGGAAATTATATGGAATACTGTGGCATTGAACCCGATAAATTTGTACTTTGCTGTGTGGCAGACAGGCCAAGTTGTTTACCTGCGCTGAAAAAACCCGAAAAGCCAAGTATTAAAGAACATTTAGACCTTTGCTCCTTGTTTTATCAGAAAGCAGAGCATAAGTGTAATAATAGGGTTTGGCAGGGAGGTTTATTATAGGATGGGGAAAAATGGCTCTGAAGATGTCTTTTTCTTGATTGCTTGTGAAGCTAAAAAATGAGACAAGATCTTGGTCTTTTTGTTTAATGGATATTCTGAACATTAGCAGGGCATAGTTTCATCTAAGAAGGCTGAATGCATCTCTTGAAAACGGGAAACGGATGAACTGGAGGGAGTCCAATCAAAAATCTAATAGCTGGTCAGATGTGGATGTCCAACTTATGTCTTGTTTCACCTTTACTTGCTATAAACCTAAATCATTACATGAAAAAGCAGTCAGTGTGGGCATTGACACTGGAAACATTAGAACTAGCTACCACCAGTGGCAGTTCTGCGTATATCAGAATGTAGCAGTAGGAGAAATTTTCCACTAACAAGGTTTTGTACCAATTCCAATAGGGTTTTCTTGATAGGTGCTGTTCATGAGATGCTCCTAGACAATAATTCAATAGTCAGAAAATTCACTCTTCATTTCTCCCAGGAAATGTGTTGCCATGCTGTAGTTGACAGGTTTCCCTGTTTTATGAAAGACTACAGACTTTAAAAAAAAAAAATCATATCTGTGGACTGTAGTTGCTTTGAATAAGCTCAAACGTGTCCAGCAAAACAGAGGATCGTCAGTGATCCACTGTTCTAGGCCTGCAAATTCTCCAGCGATTTTAGAGCAGACATTTTAATGAGATCTGTGGTGATTCAGTTTGGCTTTTTGCATGTGTGCGTTTTATTTTTGGGTTTTCAGAATTTAACTC